TGTTGGGGAAGAAGCTGTATTAAATCAAAGGTATTATATCCCAGGTATCCTACTAGTATCCAGGAGCAAAGTGGCCAGTGCTTTGCAGTGTAATTGAAAGATGAGGGACAGATGTAACATTGCTAAGAGCTGCATTTATGAGACCAACTAAGGACAACCTAAAAGATTTGCAGAAGTGTGAGTGGTCAGCCTAAGCTTGAGTAATTTTTATTTTTTTGGCAGTTTTTGGCCAGTGCTGGGTTTGAACCCACCACCTCCAGCATATGGGGCTGGGGCTCTACTCCTTTGAGCCACAGGCGCCACCCAAGCCTGAGTAATATTAAAGAGCTTATTTACTACGGATACTGTTGTTCACTCTGCTAATACGCTTTTTCCTCACCTTTATCGTCTAGTGTTACCTGTTTTTCAGATTGATTTTTCCAATGGGTAGAGGACATTTTGTTCTCCTTATTCATCTGCTGGTTTAAAATCAGTTCTCTTACTGATACCACAATCGGCACTACATTTAAATTTGTATTTACAGTCATGGCAGGTCCTCTGTTCAAATTCACTTTATCTCAGAATGGCTCATAAAGCCTTTTCCACTTTCCTGCTAACCAGCACTGTTTCCACTTATCTTGCTGTTTGTTATTTTCTTTTGCTCACCACACCTCAATTTGTAGTTTAGAAGTCTAAAAGAGGGACTTAAAAAAATATAGTCTCATGAACACATATTTAAGGTGATGGGTATTCCTTCCTGTTATATTGATTTGATCTTTATAAATTATATGAATACATTCAATCATCACATGCACCCCAGAATAGTCCATCTATTTTGTATCAGTTGAAAAAGCAATTAAAAAATTGCCTCCTGAAATCCCCTAAAAACAATATTACAACTGAAATTTGGTCCCTATCCCATAGGGAATTATTTTATTATAGAATTCTAACCAGTTTTCTTTGACTTAGCCATATTAATAAATGTCAATGGCTCAAGTTTCTTCCACGTATTTCCCTAAAACAAATATTAAAATATTAGATCAGTATAGGGCAGAGCCTGTGGCTCAACGGAGTAGGGCACCAGCCCCTTATGCCGGAGGTGGTGGGTTCAAACCCAGCCCTGGCCAAAAACTGCAAAATATACATATACACATATATACATATACATATAGTATATATATATTAGATCAGTATAAAGTGAAAGATTAAAATAGTAGCTATTGTAGCACCAGATAAAACAGAAACAAAGAAACTATATGACACATGAATTTTCAGAACTATTTAGAGGTCATTTTGGTAATCAAATTGAGATGTCTGTCTTCTGAAAATTTTCCTGAATCCCTTAGATTCTGTATTCTCCAGAAATTTGGGGGATCCTTCACTGTTTCATAATAATCCCAACTAGAAGCACAGACTATATGCTTTACAAATTCAGTTATTTCCGATACCAGAACTACAAATTCAGTTGTTTCCAGAATTCACAAAAAATTCAAACCCCCCAAATGAGACACAGGGCTCAAAAATAGATGATGCTGCGCTTTTAATATAAGCTTTTTAATATAACAAGACTTTAAAGAGTAATATTTTGGCAGAGAAGAGTCCAGAAAAATAAGCTCAATGATGCCTCCTTCTCGGTCCATTTCTCCATTCAATATCTGGTGTGGGGAGTAAGCAGAATTAAAAAACAATCCAACCAAGGGTTAAAAACTGATGTCTACCTCTCAGAAAGGGTGGAATCTATGCTTTCTTTTTTTTGGAGAGGAAGGAGACCAGTAGGGAATAAAGAAGAGGAAAAGTCCGGTTGCTTGGTGAGAGACAGTCCTGGCTGGAATGTTATCAAAGGCAGGGTGCAGGGGCTACACCTGATCTGTCCGTCCAACATTCTCAGTACCTGGCAGATTATGGGCATTCAACAAACTTCACTTGATGTGCTCACTTCAGCAGACTGTATACTAAAATCAACATCATTTAAATGAATAAGCAAATGAAATGAGGTGGTACATACACAGAATTTCCTCTCAGACAGCATGCCCTTTTATATGTCATGGAGAAAGTATAAATTCCAAGTATAAATTCAATACTGTAGTTATAGTTGGATATAACTATATCCAACATATAACATGAGTCTGGGCTGGAGCATATAAGATAAAAGATACAGAAAGGATTTTAAGATAAGTCAGAGAAATGATAAGGGGGTTCATGTTACCAATACTCACCTAGGACTCGCATTGTGGAGGTGATCTGGAAACAGCAGCTTAAATCATGAGAGGATGTGTGCACCTGAGGCCGCACCTGCTGAAGCTGTCACAGCACTTCATAGCCCCTTTGCATTCATAATCATTTGTACAGGGATCTTCAGGACAGTAGGTGGAACCCTTAGACTGTTGTTTAGAGGCCTGTTTGCTAGGACCGGGCCTAAATTTGTTTTGGTTCAGATTTTGAGCCCGTTGCTGCTTTATCTCAAAAGATTGTATAGGCTTGGTGCCTGTGGCTCAAGCGGCTAAGGCGCCAGCCACATACACCTAAGGTGGCGGGTTCGAATCCCCAGCCCGGCCCACCAGACAACAATGATGGCTGCAACCAAAAAAAAATTGGCCAGGCGTTGTGGCGGGCGCCTGTAGTCCCAGCTACTTGGGAGGCTGAGGCAGGAGACTCGCTTGAGCCCAGGAGTTGGAGGTTGCTATGAGCATGATGCCATGGCACTCTACCCAGGGGGATAGCTTGAGGCTCTGTCTCAAAAAAAAAAAAAAAAAAAGATTGTATAAAACTAGGACACATTCCTGGTCTCTCTTCATCTATGAAAGAAGAAAAACAATGTGAGAATTTTTACCTTCTCTGTATTTATGCTAATACAAGGATTTGCTATTTTGCCCATAATATGTCCATAATCTCCTTAATTAAGCTATTCAATTAGTTGATCTCTCTCTTTAAAATGTTAAAATGTCTTAAAAACACTATAAAACATTACTGAGTGTATTTTTAAGGTATAATTAAAGTGCATACGCTACTACTGAGTGTATTTTTAAGGTACAGACCAGGTCCAACCTTCTCACTGTAATGCTTTATATGACACATGACAAATATAGAATATATTCATATATAGTAAGAATGTATATTTGGAATATTTATATACAAAATTGAAAACCATGTTCAGAATATATATGGTTAGAATATACAATGTTTGTATATTTAGAATATATGCATTTGAAATAAGTCGGGGTGAAGAAATTACATATATGAGAAAGGATACTTCAACTCATTTGTTTATTTTAATAGGATCTTCTTAAAGTTCTATATCAGATTAATACAATATTTTTTTACACGAATACACTTTTTAATCACCAGAAATGCTCAAATACAGGCACTTGGCATTATCCAATTATATGGATGGTCAACAGATGTAGATACTTTTAGCTCATCCATTTCCTAATTCATTTAATTTCTTTTTTTTTTTTCTCTCTCACTTTGTCACCCTTAGTAGAGGGCCGTGGCATCAGAGCTCACAGCAACCTCAAACTTAAACTTCTGGGTTCAAGTGATCCTTTTGCATCAATCTCCTGAGTAGCTGGGACTAGAGGTGCCTGCCACAACGCCCGGCTATCTTCAGAGATGAGGTCTCACTCTAGCTCAGGCTGGTCTGGAACTTGTGAGCTCAGGCAATCCACCCAACTCAGCCTCCCACAGTGCTAGGATTACAGGCATGAGCCACTACGCCCAGCCTTATTTTCTCACTTACTCAATTTCTAACAAATATTTATTGAGTGCCTACTATCTGTAGTGGTCAGAACAAACCAAAAATGTCCTCTCATAGAGTGGGCAAAACAGAGAAGGATGCATTAGTAAATTGATAGTGCATATTAGACAAAGAATACTGCTAAAGGGAATAATTAAATCAATGGAGATTCCCTAAAACTTCTTACAATCCTAAAGGCCACTAATTTTTTAACCCTGGCTATGTAAACATTAATCTACATGAATCAGTTGTGCTCTATGGATAGTTGTACACTATCCATCTCATCTATATACATGTACTTCCATTCAAGAAGCCCTGATAAATGTTGATCAGGACCAACAGAAATAGTATTCCTCCTTCATGTGAGGTCAATTAGGTCATTATCAATGGTTAATGACATGCAGGAAGTACTATAAACGGCTTTGGGGCGGAGGTTTGAGACAGTCTCATTGTGTCACCCCTGGGTAGAGTGTGTCATGGAATCATAGCTTATAGCAAACTCAGTCTCTTGGGCTCAAGCAATCCTCTTGCTTTAGCCTCCCCTGTAGTTTGGACTATAGGCATGTGCCACAACACCTGGCTGGTTTTACTATTTTTAGTAGATATGGGGTCTCGCTCTTGCTCAGGCTGGTTTCAAACTCGAACACTCAGGCAATCCACCTGCCTAAGCCTCCCAGAGTAATTAGAATTACAGGCATGAGCCACCATGCCTGGCCAGCATTATAAACTTTCATAATAATTCTATGAATTTTTACACAATAAAAAGTTAAAATTTAACAATATGGGTATAGTAATTCTTACTGATCATTATACCATAAAAAACAATGGACATTAAGAGTAAAAATACATATATATAGAAACTGAACAAATCAAACTTACTTGGTTGTCCGACTTGACTGTCTAAGGGAGAAAGAAGGAAAAATAGCAGAATTAGAGGATCAACCAAGTGTTAAATTCAACTTAATACTAACTTCTCATTTTCTCTATAACCTTTACTTTCCCTTGAAAGCAGGGTAACAGAATTGGAGAATTTAAAGTTTGGGAGCAACTTAGGACCTTTTTGCGAAAGAGCTAAACTTACTACAAGGTTTTCCTTCGTCAGTCTGTTAAACTCTGGAAAAAAAGATCTGACAAAGTGTTCTACATAATCATTTTTCCATGGCATATTCTTTCCCTGTGAGTTTGTTCGGCCTTCTCAACTCACTCGGTAATTGCTTTTTAACTCTCGCTTGTTTATCAGCGATAGTGACCGTCTCTTACTTGCAGGTCCCTCGCTCCATCTTTGTTGTGTGTTCCATGGTCGTGGTTTCAGGTGGCAGAATTACATTACTTCTTTGCATTTCAAAATGTAGTCAGTAACTAACTTCAAATGAAAGTACACCTCTGCTCTGACAATAAATATAACGTCTTTTTCTGTCTCTCTTTTTTTAGCTCTTTGTATTGGACTTCATTATCTTCTCTGGCTGGCTCTGCTAGCCCAAGTTCTCTTCCTCCTCTTGAGTGCTAATAGAACTCTTATTTTGTTCAAGGGAGCAATGTCCCCCCTCGTTCTCAGCCAAGAGCAGTCCCGGTGCTGAAGCACCCTGCCGGTATTCAGTGAGTGAATCAGGGCTGCTAGATGTCCTGAAATCAGTCAGGCAGGTTCCTCAAAGAAAGATGGAGGAGCAAAAATATAGGAACCTGTCTACTTCCAGACTTCCTGTGATATTAGAAATGAAATTGCTGTTTGTTTAAGCTACAGTTAGTCAAGAACTCTGTTTGACATAGCTGAACATACTTTTCAACTGATAGCCCTCTGATCATCAACATCTGTCCTCTATTTCTTACTATTCACCTGAAAATGCAGTAAATTTCTTATTCTACTTAGGAAAACAGATGTCAGAAGAAAAAGAGATAATCAAAATCTCACCTTCCTCCTGTGCATCCTGGTCTTGCCAAACACCTGGAGAAGAAAATCTAGAGTGAGCACTTTTTCATTTCATGTTCACAAGTCCCTAAAGTGACTTGATAGTATGTCAGGCAGTTACTACAGCAAGCGATTGGAACACAGCGGGACTCTTCTCTGTTTACTACACTGCAGCTACATATCATGGACCTTCCCTGTGAACATGTAGCATAGAAGTTATGCATGATAGAAATATTGTATTATTGCTTTTTCTTTGTTCAACAGAGAACATTATGTCTTCAACTATTTCATGGCCATATAATATGGCAGAATGGATTCTTCCCCACCATGGTCCTAATCCAAACTTATGAATCTAAAGAAATACAATAAGTGTTTATTTTTAAAAAAATGAAAACTTTTTTTAATGATTTTAGACTCCAGAAAAGTTGCAAACACAGTACAGAATGTGCCTTCTCCAGATAATTGCCCTCATCAGTGACACTCTGACATGAGGATACAAAAGATTGGCCTCCTTGTAAGCAATTGATCCTCCAGACTTTTCTCTGAGGGTTAGATTAAGCGAGTCTCCATAAGAGACCACAATTTGTTTAGTCTTATTCCATATCCTACCCTGCTTCCTGACCTCTCACCTCTGGGAGAACTCCCAATAAATATTCTGAAAAACATTCCCATTTCAAGCTTGGCTTCTACATAATCTGGCGTAACATGATACATCAGTTCTTTTCCTCTTCATTTTGTTCCCACCTCCACGCATAGCATGCCAGCCCCCCCCCCCATCCAACAGCAGAATCTTAAAGGGGCCAAAAAAGAGACGACCCACTCATGGGGATCAAACACGAGGAAAGACAAGTGAGGACAGTGGGTAAGTTTAAAAGATAAGAGGGGCAAAAAAAGGGGGTGGGGGGCTGGCCTGAGAAAGAGGATCCAGAAGGGAAGCTCTCTGTTCTGTGTATTGTGTGTTCTTAGCACCAGGGACTGAAACACCAAACCTTAGTTGGAACTCAGTCCCTAAAGCCCACCGCCTTAGGACATCCATTTTGGCTAAATCGTGTTCCTTGAACTTGCAATAAAAGATTGACACAGTATTCTCTGGCCTCCTGCACATAAGACAGATCTTTCAGTAGCAAAATTTGGGCAGATGCAACCAAATAAGGAAGAGGCTGAAGAAGAAGAACTAATCACATACACTATAGAAACAGCCTAACAGGGATGAGTACGTTGACAAGAGAGTAATGCCACTGGCCCACAGTAGAAAAACATTTCCAAAGGAGAATGGTCAGCAGTGCCAAAGCTTGTTTTAACATTCATTGAATTCACTGAAAACTCTGAAAGCTGGGTGTGACAGAGAGATGGCCTTGGGGACCACACTGCTATTGGTTGAGGAGTAGTTACAAAGTGGATTCTTCAAATGCAGGATACTTTTTCAAGAATTTAGATTGTGAGTTGATATATAACTGGCTTTAGGGTTAGGTAGAAATAATTTTTCTTTTCAGATAAAGGAAAGTACTATTAGAAGTAAACAGCAGTTGCCCAGGGAAGGCATAAAAATAGGTGTGAACCAGGGAAAATCAAATATGTGTACAGCCAAGTAACTTGGGAGAACAGAGCCTACAGTCGTGTGAGCTAGCTTTCATGTTATTGTAATTATGTGACTGGATGGCGTTTTATGATGTCATGCATGGTGCTAGGGGGCCACACTGTGGTCATTTTAAGTATAGCATTCATACTACCTACTTTATACATCATCCTATTTCTAGCTATTAATTGCAACCATTTTCATGGTCCTTCATATTTTAAGTTTTAGTTTCTTTTTGAATAATATATAACACTAAAGGAAAATATATTACCAAATATACAA